ATATATATATATATATATATATATAATATATATATATATTTATACATACATATATACATACAGGCTTCGGCAGGATTGGCGGGCTATAGCCCACGCCCGCCTCTGCACCTGTGCAAATCAGTTTACACGGCAAAATAAAGCCTGTGCAAAATATATTTTTGTAAAAATAAAGTTAAATATTTTTATGTTTTTATTTAGTTATTCTTTTAAAAACTTTTCAAAATTTTGTAAAACTGTTTGTTTTACTAGTTAAATAAATTGAATTTTCTGATGCAAAAATAAAAATCAAACAAGTTATTTGAAATAGCTATAATGGTTCTGTATTATTCTGTGTTATGTTAAAAAATAAATGATTAGTATGTTTAAAAGCAGGCAAAATATGCATGTGTACCAAAAGAAATTAACATAATAGTCCGGGTTTTCAGTATTCTTTGGAAATTTTTAGACTTATACAATAAAAACTGTTAGTTAATAAAGACAATTTCTTTTTTGTCACACATTTTGCTTAACTGATTGATAAACTAGTTTGTCATACTTTAAAGTTGTTTAAAGTAGTGCAGCTTTCCCTGTATTCTTCTGCGTTAACTTCTTGTTTTTTTTAAAAAAAAGGCGGCAGTTTATTTTTTATGCTAATATTGTGAAAGTGATATGAGTGAAAGCGTAGAAACTGCGTTCTATTTGGAAATTGAAGATATTTTGGGCTAATTTATTTAAAATGAATATTTATAAGCAATTTATAACTATATATATTTAATTTGTATGATAAAAATAATATTATATAATTTCTTCATATTTTAATTTCGTTTTTTTATACTTGCGCTATATTTAATTTATTTAAATATATTTCACAGCAATAAACCTGATGTATAAAATAATACTGCATTAGTACCCTTCTATTGGTTCTATTCATAAAAAATGTAAAAAAGATTTGCTTTTCATATAACGGTTTTTTTAATATATTATATGTTTTATCAGAATATATTTAAGAAGTACATATTTAAGCAGTATATATACCAGAATCTTAAAAATTCTATTTGGACTAAGTCTCTTAGAAATTAAAAATTAGAATCTCAAATTTTAACTTACATATCACATCAACATCAACATAACACATTACACATCAACATCACATCAACATAACATATGTTCTTCTAGTTTCGGAAAAAGAATATAAAATCAATTAAGAATTCATAAAAGATAATGATAGTAAATTAAACGCTAACGATCGTAGTAATTAAAATTTTTAAAATAATTAAACGCTAACGATAGTAATAATTAAAATTTTTAAAATATTTAAACGCTAACGATAGTAATAATTAAAATTTTTAAAATAATTAAACGCTAACGATAGTAATAATTAAAATTTTTAAAATATTTAAACGCTAATGATAGTAATAATTAAAATTTTTAAAATATTTAAACACTAACAATAGTAATATTTAAAATTTTTTAAATAATTAAACGCTAATGATAGTAATAATTAAGATTTTAAATATAATTAAACGCTAACAATAGTAATAATTAAAATTTTTAAAATAATTAAACGCTAACGATAGTAATAATTAAAATTTTTAAAATAATTAAACGCTAACGACAGTAATAATTAAAATTTTTAAAATAATTAAACGCTAACGATAGTAATAATTAAAATTTTTAAAATATTTAAACGCTAACAATAGTAATATTTAAAATTTTTTAAATAATTAAACGCTAATGATAGTAATAATTAAGATTTTAAAAATAATTAAACGCTAACAATAGTAATAATTAAAATTTTTAAAATAATTAAACGCTAACGATAGTAATAATTAAAATTTTTAAAATAATTAAACGCTAACGATAGTAATAATTAAAATTTTTAAAATAATTAAACGCTAACGATAGTAATAATTAAAATTTTTAAAATATTTAAACGCTAACGATAGTAATATTTAAAATTTTTTAAATAATTAAACGCTAATGATAGTAATAATTAAGACTTTAAAAATAATTAAACGCTAACAATAGTAATAATTAAAATTTTGAAAATAATTAAACGCTAACGATAGTAATAATTAAAATTTTTAAAATAATTAAACGCTAACGATAGTCATAATTAAAATTTTTAAAATAATTAAACGCTAACGATAGTCATAATTAAAATTTTTAAAATAATTAGTTAAAAAACAATTTTAAAAGAATAAAACTCTTTGGTTCAAAGTTTATTTAAAAAAAGATTTCAATATAATTGTCACTAAATCTTTATAGCTTGAGATATCACGGTTAAATTTTTTAAATTTAATTTAATTTACAAAGAATAAGAAAAATGAATAAACTAAAGAAGTACAATAAAAAATGTTATATTTTATTCCATTATTTTAATAAGACAATATATTAATACTCAAATAGATCTTGCAAATTGTTGTGTTCATTGCGGAAATTTTTTATGCAAACGTCAAGATGCTTAAATAAAGAAACGTGATGGTTGTGAAGATTGTTTTTCTGCCATTTTTTGCGTTGCTTTTGGTTTGATTATATCTGGAATAAACTCAACAAAAATCTAATTATAAAAACTGATTATACTGGAGAATAAAAGAATAAAGTCTGAATAAAAATCAAGAAACAAAACCAAAACAAAAACATGATAATAAAAACTTACTAAGTAGAATGTACACTAATAACTCTGAGCGAGAGATAAAAACTGCAGAGTAACTTCGAAAAACTATTATCTCAATTTTTTTAGTATCCTACTATTCGAAGTTTAATTACCAAATTCTTTTTAAATGATTTGTCACTCTCCTAGTTGTTAATAATTGTAGATTGTAGAAATTTTTATATACGATGACATTTTCAATAAAATAATAAAGAAGAAGAGAAGTACATGAACATAATAAAATAATTAAGATCATTCGTTTTTATAAAGTTATTTGATATATAACAGTTTTTTATATATTGTTGTTTTATTAGAACGATTGATTATATTTTAACTTTTGAATATCGTTTTTTATTTATTAATTAATTAATAATTATTAAAAACAAAAGTTGATTATTACTAAATTATTAAATAAAAATTATTTAAAAAAACGTTAGCTTTTTTTTTTTTTTTTTGCAAGTTGTTTTTCTGTCTTTTTATCCCTATAAAAACATTATTACAATTAAAATTTTACTATAACTGGCATGAAGAATCAATAAAATAAACTTTCGGAATTAAAAAAAATTTCATCAAGACAAAATGATTTTAATTTTTCAAAAAAGCCGGTGCAATACTATCTAGACGGGCGGCCTGCATAGCCTGCAAAGACGGGTTTAGACAGGCTATTCATAGCTTGTACACTCATTTACTCCTGCCAAAGCATATATATATATATATATATATATATATATATATATATATATATATATATATATATATATAATATATATATATATATATATATAAATTATATTTTGCATTCATCAGGCAAGTGTATTACTATAAAAATAAAATGAATGGATCAAAAAGAATTACAAAAAGTAAAAGCTATTGAAATAGAAATACCATTAGAAAAAAATATAAAAGAAGAATATTCCAAAAGTACAGCCAGCATTTGATGATAAAGAAAAAATTTCTGAAAAAAAAAGATGAGAGTGCTATTACTAGATAGAAAAAAAAAATTAGGTTTTTAGAATATCTTAAAATTTCATTAATGGGTGGTAAGCTTAATCTACCAAACAGAGATCATTTTAGCTCTAGCTGAAGCATAAGGTTTTGATTTGGATGAAATATAAAAAAATTTCAAAAAAGCACAGCAAGCACATCAAGTATTGAAGTTCTACAGAAAATTTTAGATGGCAGTAAAAAAAGTTCACACATATACTCTTCTATTCATTGAGATTCAATACAAGAAACAATTCAAAAGTTGACTTTTTGAAAATTTTAAATTTCAAAAAAACTTTTTTTTTAAAGTTTAAAAAAAATTTTATTCTTACTTTTTGTAATCGTAATTTTTAAAAAAATGACCAAAATTTTGTATTTCTTAATATTTAGTCCCAGCTTAGTCTTAGCTTAGTCTCTTAGTCTCATATTAAATATAATGTTTACTTGTTTTTTATAAAAATAAAATATAAAAATTATAATATAAATTATAATATATATAAATATAAATAATACAATATAAATAAATATATAATATAAAAATAAATTATAAAAATTGTAAATTTTATAATTATTTATCTAGTATTTTTTGTTTTAATTGAAAAGTTCAATATTTTAGACAAAAAAATACTTTAAAGGGTAGAAAAGGAGATGGGTGGGTGGGTGGAGAAGTTTTGGTTAGTAAAAAATTATTTTGAAGAAGTTTTTTTGTTTTAATATACAAAACTGTATATTAAAGCAAAAAAAATTATACTACAGTTTTATTATACAAAACAGTATATTACTGTATACTGTATACAAAACAGTATATTACTGTATACTGTTTTGTATAATAAAACTCAAGGCGTTTAATAACTGATGTGAAGGTGTTTTACTACTCTAGTGACTTTTACTACTCTAGTGAGGGTAGTAAATTATCATTTCAACAACTTTCGCAACAGTTAAACCATTACAAGCATTTAGTTGCACATTATATTTATGTTTTTTTGTTTTGTTTTGTTTTATTTTGATTTTTTTACTTTGTTAATGTAAGAATCAAATGACTTTCATTGTTAGCATCAATGACATTTATTTTCTTTTTTATCACTACTGCAGTTATAAATACTATTAAAATTATCCGTTACCTTTAAAAAGGGTTAAGTTTAATGCGGTTGTGTGTTTATTTGTGTATATATGTTTTAATTATTAGTGGAATATAATTTTTCCTCAAAATCCCAAGTTTTGTGTTTATTTAAATTCAAAAAGAGTTTCTATATACTACAGAGTATATAAAACTGGAGTACATGTAAAAGTTTTTATGTATATTCAACTCTGAAGTTGGTTTACATAATAACTTTTATTTTTGACATTTGTTTCAGTATTATGTATATATAGAATTATTTTTTAGGATTCGTCCTCAAAATGCTTCTGAGAAGATTGATTTATGTCATATATGTACATCAGTTACCCCAGGTCATCCTCAAGTTGTGCTGGGCAAAGATAAAGCATTTACCTATGATTTTGTCTTTGACTTAGATTCTCATCAGGAAGATATATATAAAGAAATAGCAAAGCCTCTTATTGAAGGGTAAGTAATTAAATATATATCATAAATAAATAAATGAAAAGATTATGAAATAGCATAAATATATTTGCATTACATTTCAACTGCATCCACAATGAAACAGTTGCATTTGGTTTTGTAAGTTCCAGGCTTTTTTACCATTTTTTACCATAATTCCATAACAACCTAATGTTTAACCATTCATGACAGAATTAGAAAAAAAAAAATTTGTTTCAACTTAGAGAAACAAAAATCTGTTTTATTTGATTTTTAATCAGATTTTTAAAATATGCATCAATGTTAGCTGCAGTCTCGATGTTAGCTGCAGTCTCGATGTTAGCTGCAGTCTAATGTTAGCTGCAGTCTAATGTTAGCTGCAGTCTCGATGTTAGCTGCAGTCTCGATGTTAGCTGCAGTCTCGATGTTAGCTGCAGTCTCGATGTTAGCTGCAGTCTCGATGTTAGCTGCAGTCTCGATGTTTTTCTCCTCTAATGTTAGCTGCAGGACCTGATGAGCAAATAGAGTTCATTGTTTGATTTTGTTTAATATCAATGATTTCAATATCTTTAAATATTTTGAATTGCTGGATCAAGTTGCACCTTAGCCTTTTAGTCTCCAAAGTAGTCAAACCCAAAATTTCTAATCTTTTTTCGTACTCAAGATGTCTTAGCTCCGGTATCATTTTGGTAGCTCTTCGTTGGACTTTTTCTAGTTCATTAATGTCTTTTGTATAATACGGACTCCATGCTTGAATTGAAAACTCTAAATTTGGTCTAACTATGTACAATACAGTGTTTTTATTAAATCTTTATCCTTGTACTTGAATGTATTATTTAGTAGCGAGAGCATACTATTTGTTTTACTAGCTGCATATTTTACTTGTTTGGCCCATTTTAAATCACTTGATATATAAACACCAATGTCCTTTTCTAGTTTTGACTTTTCAATTTCCATTAATGTATTGTTATTGTTCATAAAATATGAATATTTGTTATTATTTGAACCAAAGTGCATAATTTTACATTTTTCAAAATTTAATCCTAATTTCCATTTTGTTGACCATTCGTCAAGTTTATTTATATCATTTTGAAACAATTGTGAATCATTTTGAGAAGAAATAGGCGCAATTATCTTATTATCATCAGCAATATAAACGATATTCATTAATAAAATTTTATTGTAAATCATTTATAAATACCAGAAAAAGGAGAGGACCTAGAACAGACCCTTCTGGTACACCATTAAGTACATCAACCCAATCTGTCACACTTTTACCTAAAACCACTCTTTGTTTTCTATTAGCTAAAAAACAGACTATCCACGTAAGAAGTTTTCCAGAAATACCAAAAGTCAATAACTTGGATAATAACTTTAAAATCTGTGTACAATACATCTACCGGTGTTCCATTGTGGAACGCATCTCTTAAAATATCTAGGTATTCTAATAGGTTTGTTGTACAGCTCTTGCTTTTCATAAAACCATGTTGTTTTTTTGAAAGTAAATTATTTTTTATGAGGTGTTGCATGATACAATCAGCTATTATTCTTTCTAACACTTTACATGGTATTAAAGTTAACGCAACTGGTCTGTAGTTAGATGCTTTTAATTTGCTTCCTTTTTTAAAAAGTGGCATTACATTTACCTTCTTCCACATATCTGGTAGGGTACCTGTTTCCATAGATTTTTTGAAAATTAAATATAATGGGTATGATATTGACGAGCTGCATTCTTTTAAAACATATGGATGAACAAAATCAAAACCGACTGATTTTGACTTATCAAGTGCTTGAAGTCTAGTTTGAACATCAATTTGTGTTATAAAAACTGTGTTTAATAGTAAATTTGAAGGTATATTATGAAACTCAATAATACTTGTACAATTATTATTAACATACACAGAATGAAAATATTTATTTAGTTCAGTAGCTATAGGGAATTGATCATTTATGAATTCCCCATTATCAATTTCCAGAGCTCGAATTTGAGTTTACACTGATTTCTTCTCATTGATATATTTATCTCTTGCAATTTACGATTTGATTTAAACTTGCTAGCTAAAGTACTTTCTAATTGTTTTAAATTGTTCTTAATATCATTCTTTATTCTAATTTTTAGCTTATTATACTGAATTTTTGTTGATTCCTCATTCTAGCCACTATGTTTATTAGCAAGCCATATATTGTTTTTAGTTCTTATTTTACATTTCAATTCAGGAGTAATCCATTTGTTTCTGTTCCTTCTATTTTGATAATTAATTCTTGGGATAAACAGATTAGTTGCATAATTGTAATGATACAAAAATAAATCATACATTTCATTTATAGATTTACTTTTAAATCCATTTTCCCAATCTACATTATTGAAATGGTGAGAGAATAGTTCATAATTTCCTTTTTGATATAATCTAATGGATTTCTTATGTTTGGTAGAAGACTTATAATCATTCATTAGATAACAACACTTTAATAAATGATGACCCTGTTTGACATTCCCTAAAGGAGCTGAGTGAATTATAGAAACAATTTTGTTTTTATCGTTTGTGATAATAAGGTCTAGAATATTAGTTGATTTGTAGTTTGCTATTTGGAATGTTGGCTCACATACACATTGAAACAGAAAACGATCTTCAAGACATTTAATAAATTTATTAGTTTGAGATTCATTATCAGTTGCTGAAATATATATATACATATATATAGCAGTATATTGTATTCATTATCAGTTGCTGAATATATATATATATATTCAGCAACTGATAATGAATACAATATATACAACGTTTTCTGCTCTCACTTTCTAATTATGTTCTATTTGATAAAATAATACTAGAATCAGGCCTTGCGATAAAGCGTCGGGCGATGTGAATTTTACGTCGTCCAAGAGCGATTTTGCGTGTAGCTAGGGCTATTTGCGTCGAGCAAAAAAATTTTTGTTTGAGTATATTTAAAGATATTTTTGAGCGGAATTTTAATGAAGTAATTTACGATTATTTTAACATTTAATAAAGTATTTTAAAAACCGCACGCAGTTGAAATAAAGGTTTGAATTAAAAAAAAATTAAATATGCTCATTATTAGAAGAAGAAGAAAAAGAAAAAATTCAGATTAAAAAAAAAATTATAAATCTTTTAAGCTAACATTTTAATAAAATTATTCAGCAATAGCAAAGTTGTTGATAAAATTGAACAAAAATACTTTCTTTTAGTTTTAGATTTTAAACTTAAATAATTATTTTACGGGGGTTTGTTAGGTTTTAAAAAAAAAGATTTAAAAATATTTATTAACTGTTTGACGTATTTAAAGTATTTAAGAGTAATTTCGAGGAAACATTTTAAAAATTGGTGAGCGCAAATAAAATAAAAAAAAGGATTAATATTAAAACGTATTCTACTTGATTCAATAAAAGTTTGTAAAAAGTAACTCAAAAAAATTACTTAAATAATAACGATCGCTTTTATGTTAAAAGTTACCGAAACTCAACGAGGCATGCTCAAGAACAGCTGCTGAAAAATAAAACGTCAATAGTTTTGAATAATTTTTAATAATAATTTTTAAGAATAATTTTTTCGCTGAAATATTTCTTTTATACCTATAAGATTTTTATTCTAACATTTTATTTTACTTGAAATAAAATTCCTTGTTAACATTAAAAATCTATTCAAAACGTTCGTTTAAGTTTTTTATTAATACGAGTGATTGTGCTTATCAACCGCTTTATGAAAATAAATAAAAATAAATAAATATTATATAAAATCGCTTGTAAAAATATTAGCTATTGCACAGTTTTTAATCGTACAATATTAAAATTTCCAGTTTATTACTCGCTGACTTTTTAAAAAGAAAAAAATTTTATTTGAAAAACTTTAAATTACACATTTAAGAAAAAAAAAATCAAATATTAGCATATTTTATAATCTTTTTTAAATTTAAGTTATAATGTTTTTTATTCGTTTAGTATAGACAAAACGTGACAAACGTCGAGAAAATAAACAAATGTTTTTACATTTTAAAAAACGAAACATTCCAAAACATTTTTAAATAATAACATTTCTACATAAACGATTTAAAGTAGTTTTGCGGTAATTAAGTAAATTGGTGCAGTTAATGTCGATAAATATGAAAAGCAAATAAAAAGAATTTAATGACGTCAAAAATCACGTCGTGCTTATGCGTCGCGCAGTTCTTATTCATCGCAAGGCCTGTGGAATTAAAATACTTTTGAAAAAAATATATTTTTAGGGGTAGCTCAACACCCTTAAACATTAGATGAGTCCCTAATATGAAAAAAAAAAATTATTTCAAAAGTATATTAAGTTGGGTCTCAAAAGAAGCGAAATTATATAAAAATTTAAAAAAATCAATCATTTTATAAAAAAAATGATTATTTAGGATTTTTTTTTGGAATATTTATTCAATAAATACACTTTTTACATTTTTAGTTTAAAAAAGTAATATATCTGCAATAAACTCTAAAATAATAATTTTTTAATAATATAATTATTTTGGATTTTTTTTTTAATCTCTACTTTTTCCAAGCTTGTAGTGTCCATAAGCTCTAAACATATATATATATATATATATATATATATATATATATATATAATATATATATATATATATATATATATATATATAGATAGATAGATAGATAGATAGATAGATAGATAGATAGATAGATAGATAGATAGATAGATAGATAGATAGATAGATTGATAGATAGATAGATAGATAGATATAAATATATATATAGATATAGATATAGATATAGTCTTGCATGGTAGTCAGAAAGTTTTTCCCATAAACTGTAGTTTTAAAGAGTGCGTTAATAAACCAGACCAGAAAAAGTTTAAAAACTTGAATAATTTTTTTTTTTTTATTGATAGACTGCCTGCCCAAACCAAACCCTCAGTCGATGTAGCAGCACTCCCTTGCGGGTCAGGCTATTTGTCAGTTGATGTAGCAGCACTTTGTTGTGAGTCAGGCTATAAGATAGTCAATGTAGTAACACTCCGTTGCAAGTCAGGCTATAAGATAGTTGATGTAGCAACACTCCTTTGTAGCAGCAGGCTATAAAATAGTCGATGTAGCAACACTCTGTGCATGTTTTAGAAATATATTTTAATAAAATGACAACAAATACACCATTAATTAAAAAAAACTTTCTAGTCATTATTATTGCAGTTTTTTAAAAAAACAATAGAATTTAATGTACCTCCGCATTAATTTATTTGCTTTAACATTTGGACGACAATAAAATGTAGCTTAATTGTAGAGGTAGCAAAAATGTAGTCAAAAGAGACTTTTATTACATTAAAAGTTTCTTTCGACTGCAATTTAAGGATGTATATATATATATACATATATATATATATATATATATATATATATATATATATATATATATATATATATATATATATATATATAGATATATATATATATATATATATATATATATATATATATATATATATATATATATATATTATATATATATATATATATATGTATATATATATATATATATATATATGTATATATATATATATATATATATATATATATATATATATATATATATATATATATATTTATATATATATTTATATATATATATATATATATATATATGTATATGTATATATATATATATATATATATATATATATATATATGTATATATATATATATATATATATATATATATATATATATATATATATATATATATATATATATATATATATATATATATATATATATATATATATATATATATATATATATATATATATAAATGGTGTGAAAGATATTGGTAGCCAATGTTTAAAGAATAGCATAATTAAATGATTAAAGTTGATTGTGGAGTTTAGAGCTTCAAGTTAAGTAAAACAAAACTAAATAGTTCAGGCCAATCATGAATGTTTTCATCTTCCGTTTATAAAATTTTATATTTGCTTTTTCAATATCTATGCATATCAAATCTAAAGATCAATGTCCATGCATATCAAATCTAAATATCAATGACCATGCATCAGCGTGGAAAATAATAGCCGGTCAATGGTCAACTACTTGACAGTATTGGTTGGCTAGTTAGAAAAAATCAGAGTTTTGAAAAACAAGATTCAACTCAGGATGTAATTTGGAAAATGCATGTACTAAAATTTCATAAAATCATTTAAAAAAAAACGTTTATAATAGTTTTATGATTTATAATATGCGCCTATAATTTGCTTTGTTGATGAATGTTATAATTAGTGCAACCTAAATCCATTCATTTTTTTGCTTCATTTATTTTCATTCATTTATTTAGATTTCTTCATTTTACTGGTGGTAAAAATCTTTTTTTCATAAAAGATTGAAGTTCTTATTTTATTATTATTCTTACAAAAAATGTTATATTATTTTAATAAAAACATAATAATTGCTGTATTTATTTAAAGATTTTTTTTTTCAATTGTTCTTTGTTTGTTTTTTATTATTATTTTTTCTTTTAACCTATTTATTTTCTTGTAAGTTTTTTGCTGCAAATTGCATAAAATAAATGAATGTTTTATAGATAAATTTAAAGTTACTACTTTAAACGGATTATGAGGTTATATATGAATTTCAAAAAAATAAAGATTTATTAAAAACCTTGTTATTTGTAAAAACAACAAGGTTTAACCTTTGTTTAGTAATTTTTATAGTGTTTCATAAAACAATTGTCTTCTTTATTTCATTAACATTAGTAACAAGCAATAATAACAATAATAACAATAGTAAGAATAACAATATAAATGTATTCAGTATAAATACGAGTTTATAACATTCATAATAACTATTTTTAGCAGTTTTAAAAATGACTTAAATGAGCCAAGATATAAAATGTACAATCATTTTTCTTCTTTAAAGTTGTTGACTTTAAAGTTTAATGTTCTTATTTTATTATTTCTTGAAATTATTGTATATAATATGAACTATTAACATTTTCTCCCCCAACTTTTTTTTTTTTTTTTTCCAATGTTTTTTTTTTTTTTTTTCACTGGCTGGCGTTAATTAAAATTATATAACCATGTAATGAATTTTATTATTTGGTCTGGATTTTATGATCTCTTTTTACTTTTAAGCAAAAATTTGTAAACACATGACTTGTTTATATTTATTTTAATAAATATAAACAATTTATTAATTCTAAATTATTACAACTTTGTTGTAATAATTAATAATCTAAGAGAAGTTTTAACCAGTGCTACAATCAGCATAAGGTGTGAGAGGGCATGCTGCACACCCCCACCCACCCCTTTCTCTGCGCTCCCTAAGTCAGTCAACTGTCACTGCATAAAATATAAGTTTTTAATTACAAAGTTATGCATATATTTAAATGGAAATAGAGAACTGGGTAACAACAAACCATTGTTTACATACCCATTTTACAAATTTGCCTGCATTTATGGCAAAAAAGGTATTGTGGTTTATCCTCTTCTGGCTAATTGCCATACAGAGGCCATATTACCAAGACTCATGAAGACGAGTTCAACTAAACTAAGAGCATCTTAACCCGCTTTGCAGACCAAGAGTAAGTGAGTTTAAGAAGAATGAAGGATAATAGAGTTTAAGTCAGAAGTCGAGATAGAAAGATAGCATAGAGAAAGCAGAAAGATATTGAGCTGATGTAAGAATGTGCAACTAATTAATTTCTTATATTTTGTAATATACTAATTTTTTTCAAACTCTTTATTATTTATGGCAAAAAAAAAAACGTAGGTGTTTTGTTTTAAAAAAATATCTCTTATGATCAATTTAACATTGTGGAGCAAATTTAAATTTGTTTTTATATGTTAAAAATGTTTTTAACAAAAACTCGTATGGCAACTCCTCCTCACTTAAAATCTACTTGCACCAGCCCTACTTTCAAGATATGTATGCATTAATATCTCTAGCAATGACAACTGAATTATAAATGAAAGATGGGCATCCATTCTTAATAAAAAAATAGATGACATGTTTTGCTAACTTGTCTTAAGGTCTTCCATAAATTAAGTCACGGGGGGAGGGGAGGTTGGTGGTTTTGTGATGAATCATACAAAATTTGCTACTTATTTGCTACAATTTGCTACTTATTTGCTACAATTTTGTGATGAGGGGGGCAGGTCAAAAATGGTTGAAAATTGCATGGCAATTTGACCCAAATATAACCCAAAACAATGTCTTTTTGGATTAATAATAGTTTTAATTGAATGCGAGCTTGCTGAGAGCATTGACTTTGCATTATCAATAAATCGTTTTGTTTCAACACAGCAGACACAGACGTCTGTAAGACATTTGTATAAAGTTACAAGTCCTTATGATATTCTTAAGACTTCGAACGAATGTTCTGTGCATGCTGGAAATGATATCGTGCATAAAAGTAATATGCCACCCACAACCCTTGTCGCCCCCTACTCATTCCTATGGTCCCCCACAACACTAAACCTCAATCTGCCACTGTTTTGAACATTTTATTTTTAACATCCAAAATGTTGCTTATAATCTTTTATTAAATCTTTTAACTATACAAAAAAAATCAAAATGTTTTGAACACTGTTTACCAACTCTGGTTTTTGAAAATATAAATGTGCAACATTTTTGAAGTTTGTTTAGACTTTAGATTTTTGATCTACTACATAAAACTATTTTAGTAAATTAAAATTTATCATAGTTGGATTTGGCTGATTGTTTTTATGTTTAAAAGCCATGTTTTTTAAAAGTTACATTTAGAAAACTTCTTTTAGCGTGTGCTATAGGGTGTTAATTATATTGCAGTTCCTATTTTTTATTATTAGTAGTATTCATTTATTGCTTCTATAAATTCTATTATGTTTAACAGATGCTTTGATGGATATAATGCTACCATACTGGCTTATGGACAGGTAATCTTTTGTGTGTTTTGTTTAGATTTTAGATGATTTACAAGTTTTTCATTAAAGTATATTCAATTGATTGAATGGTTAATATATAAATTGAAATTAATAAACCTAATTAATAAATAAATGGTATAATAAATCATTAATTTTTAAATTTTATTGGCTAGTAACTTTTAAAATTAGTTTTTTAAAATAGGTTTATTTTTCGAAATGGTAATTTCAATATTATACAAATATATTGTCTAAAAATAATATAAGAGTATACGTCTTTTAGACTGGTAGTGGAAAGACTTATACAATGGGAACTAGTTTTGATGTTGGTATTAGCGAAGATCAGATTGGCATTATCCCTAGAGCAGCAAAGCATCTTTTTGATGGAATGCGCAAAAGAAAAGAAGAAGCTGAGAAAGCTGGTCGACCTTCTCCAGAATTTACAGTTACAGCTCAATTTCTTGAGGTTCTATAAATTTTGATATTACAATTATAAATTATTTTTTTTCAAATTGATGGCTATTAAAATAAGGTAAGTGAGGCTTCTTCTAGAGTTGAGGCAGCTTACCTAGAAGAAAGAAAACTCTTTATACACTCCAGTTTAATTTTGAGTATGTATTATGTACCAAGTAGCAATAAATCTTGTGTTTTAAATCTTATTAGTGATAGTATAACAAATACTTAGTTCTGGTCTGCAAAACAGATTAACACTAGAAAAAGCATCCCTTTGTAAAAATTTGCTTCTACTCTTTTATGTAATTCAAATTTAAAAGTTTTTAAAAACTTGTCCAAATCATATTTCCTCTTAATCAACATATCAACTTAATGGTGATTATTTATTTAATCATGTGTTCTCTATATCTTTATTCCTCTTTTTTTTTTTTTTTTTTACACTTTATTTTGTTTATTTTTTACTTTAATCTTTTGCCTGTTTTAGTTGAAATTGTTTAAAATAATTTAATTTAGTTAAAATTGCATAACGTAAAGCGTATATAAATTGTGAGCTGGATAACACTTTAAAGAAGACCTGGCAATAGTCTATTATGAATATTAGCAATAAGCTAATTCCTGGTGCTGCATATAACTTGTGCTGAATAGTTCTGGTTTATTTATTGAACATCATTTTAAGTATACAAAAATACTTCCAGGTAAATACAAAAGTATTTACCTGGTATTTACATATATACACTAAAATTAAAATTCACTATAAACTTATTTAACCAGTTTTTTATTTAGTATTAGTATTAGTAATTGATGTAGCTGGTGTGAGCCAGTATTAACATGATATGAAAGCCAATTTGTTTGATTGCTGCTCTGCAATCAAAACCTGCTTTAAAACTATTAAATGATTGTGCACTAAATTAGTTGTTTTGTTAAATTAAAAAAAAAGTTGTTCTGTTAAATTAAAAAACCATGGCTCCATTAGTTGTTCTGTTAAATTAAAGTTTTTACAATAAGTTATTGGCTCCATAAGTTTTTCTGTTAAACTAAAAGTTTTCACAACTTGCTCGCTTTGTGATTTCTTTGACATATTTTAACCCTCTTGTTTGGGTTTGTTAAAAACTAGTTTTTTTAATTGTTGTTAAAAAAATTAGTTATTTTAAGATGTAATTATATGCTTCCTAGAATTCGATTAAAAAAAAATATTATTGTTACAATATTTTTGTATTAGTTGCAAGTCTTTTACTTAATGGTCAGTGTAAAAATATTAAATAGTTATTTTATTATGGACACATTTTTATTTGCCAATATTTTTACCAACTTGTGCGTTAAATTTTTTTAATATTTTCATCAGATCTTTTTCTAGGTGCATTTTTCTTTTTCAAAATATATTAATAAAACAGAATAAGCAACAATAAATTGTAAAGAAACGCTTTTTGCTTTGTAAATAGAATCGCCTTTTTTTTTTCAAAAAAAATTATTCTTAATTACTTTACCTTGGTTGCTTTCGTAGTTACTGTTGTCATGTAACAATAAACGCGTTAGTTATTGTTTTCATGTAATAATAAGAAATCTGCTTATTATTAAGGTTAATATTATGGTAATAATAATAGTAATAACAATAACAATAATTAATAATAATAAATATCAATTATAATAATCATAAAAGTATTTTTTATATTTAGCTTTACAATGAAGAAATAGTAGATCTTTTGGATATTGAAAACAAAGGTAAAAAATTAATCAGAGTTCATGAGGATCATAATGGAAATATATATTTAACAGGTGTTGTTGCAAGACCTGTAACTGCTGCTGAAACATGTATGACACTGTTAGAAGAAGGTGCTATTTCTCGGTCTACAGCTGCAACAATGATGAATGCAACATCGTCAAGGTCTCATGCTATATTTACACTTTTCATTAAGCATCACAGAATTGTAAGTTTTGTGATCTCTAAACTTTTTTTTTTTTACTAATTTTTTTTTACTTGTGTTAGTATGATAAAAATGCAAGCTCTATATAGAAATAGATAGTTAAGTAAAGATAGAATATGTAAGATTTAAATCTGAACATTTAGAAATGCTCAAAATTTGGTACCATTAAAACAATTTTCCTTTTTTTTTAATACTTTTTCTAAATAGCTATTTAGAAAAAAGTATAAAGGTTAAAAAAATTTAAAAAACAATAATCTTTTTTTACTTATCCTCATGATAATTCACATTGATACGAGTTGGTAGCTAAAAGGGTGCACAGGGTGCACACTTTAAAGATGTACAAAGGGTTGCTAAAAATGAAAAAAAGTATTGGCTTCAATTTGGATGAAACAAGACATATTAAAAGATTACACTAAAATAAGAAAATACCAAAAAGTCTTATTTGATTTGTTCAGAAAATATCAGTTTTTAAAGTTACATATTTAAATTAAAAAATCGATTTTGCCTGTTTGAATTTTGCATTTAAGGTGTTTTTTGATACATTTTGCTAAGGTGATAACAAATGAAGTGTTGGTTATTACATTTTGATCAAGCTCCTTTTAAATGGGAATAAAAATAATTTTAATAAATCTTTTCAAATATTATAAATCAGCTGTTTAACTTAATATAGCCATTAAATCATCATTAGGTAGTAAACTAGGTCTTTCATCTTCATATAAATTTATTAGTAATCATTAAAAATTAGGTAGCTATTAGCAATTAAGTAAGAAATTTGGCAAATTAGGTTTTAAATTTCATCTATCAAATTGCAAATATTTCATCTTCATATATATAATCAACTAATAATTTATTGTCGAATCGTATTCAAAGGCTGAATCATAGTCCAACAATGCAAGAAATTATATGTTATTTTGACAAAAAATAAGTTCTGAAAATGTTCAAGTTGTAATCAAACATATAAAAACATATGAAAATGCTCAAGTTGTAATCAAACATATAAAAACATATGAAAATGCTCAAGTTGTAATCAAACATATAAAAACCAAAATTAGAATGAAAACACAGAGGAGACTCTAATCAGCAATATAAAATATTTGAAATGGAATTGGAGAGTGACAAAAGTGGCAAAAGCGTGGCAGTACTAAGAGTAGATTAGAGCTTTATGAAAAAGATTGGCTTGATTGGTAAGCACTTAAATTAAAAAATATTCAAATTTTTATTGTAAATAGTAATGAAAGAGGGCAGCCTCTAAAAAATTTTCTGAAACAAATTATTAAACAAGGCAAAAAATTGCAAATGGTTCTTTAACAAAAGAATCAATGAATAACAACAGTAGTATGGTGAATTTAATTATAAATTTCATTAAAAAGCAAACAAGTACAACATAGCAAGTGCATCAATTAAAGAGTCAAATGAAGATCATTGAGAACCAATAAGGAAGGCTTTAGATTTTTCATTGACAATAGTATGAGTAAATCAGCATATCATAGAAAATTCAGATAGATACCCATCCTACTAGTTGATTCAGAAAATGAATGATAAATGTTGTCCTGATCCAGAAGCAATTACCAATTTTTGCATTGGATTATAATCAATTATGCTTATAAAATATACAGCTGATAGACTTATATATAGTATTATAAAATATAAGCTATAATATAAGTTATACTCTAAAAAGAAATAAGTGAAAGGAAAATTTTGATGCCCTTGAAAAAACAGAATGGACAAAATGAATAGGTCTTGGATGGAACATTAAAATAGACACAATATAACCAAACCAATGGGTCTTGGATGGAACATTAAGATATGCACAATATAAACAAAAATTGATAATAACAGTGATACTGATTGTTGCATGAAGAAGTTTCGAAGTTTTCTATGAGAGATTATGACATACAAGCCAGAAAAAATTTAAAAGAATCCAATTATTTGATGTATTTCAATTAACCCAAAGTTTTTAGTTCCTATATTAGTTCCTTAGAGAATAAAATGAAGTCAAAAGCTACCAAAAACTGTAACTGTTAATACAACAACTAGAGAAAGACTTGACACAGGTGTAATGAAAAGGATTTTAAAAGATATTTTAAATTATAAACCAAGATGGTGGTTCTGCAATTTTTTGCCCTTAATTCAATAATAAACTTAATTAAAAAAAAGTAATTTACTAATTTCACAAAACTACAATATTCATAAAAATATTCATGCTTTTACAGACGCAATCTACAAGTTTCATTCCTTTTGAGCCCATTTAATTTCTTAGCTTTGCATAAATGTCAAATGTGTCAGACATCAATAGCGAATTTCTATTTTAAATATATAGTTATAAAGTAAGCATAAAAGCAAGAAAGACTTTTTTTTAATTAATTTTATTAATGTTAGTAATTAGAATTTCAATGGTAATTTATTTTGTATTATTAAAATAGTTAAGATTTTTTTTTTTTAATTGTATTAGTCACAATCGGATGAAGGTGAAGAGTTTGAAACGCTCAATGCAAAATTTAATTTTGTTGACCTGGCTGGATCAGAAAGATTAAAAAGAACTGGAGCTACTGGTGATCGTGCAAAAGAAGGAATCTCTATTAATCAAGGACTAGTATGCTAAATTCACAATTTCAAATTTATTTGAATTTTTTTTTTTTTTACCATTTTATTGATTTATTTTTGACTTAAAAAGTATTTTTAATAAAAGCTTAATACAATGTATATGGTGTATGACATAATAAATAAGGTAATAAATAACTATAATAATATAGTGCAGTGTACAAAATAATAGGCAGTCTGTGGTTAACAACTGCCCAAAATGATCAAAGTTGCTGTTTTTATCTCCTCCAAAATGAATTCTTGTCAAAGTTGACAGGTAAAAAAAGTCAGAGTTTTGAAAAATAAGTTTTAACAAACAACCAGGATGTATTTCGAAGATACTAAATATTATGTTTAGTATTTTGGAAATAGTAATTTTTATCATGGCGTTTTCTAAAACAATGGTCTTCTAGTATTAAATACTCAGTTTCAATTCTTTTAACTTTTTTTTGTGCTGAAAAATAAATGACCACGCCAAATTAAATTTCATATTGTCATTGCTTGCTAAAATTTCATATTTTCAACAGCTACACTTGATTTCTATTAAAATTTCATATTTTCAACAGTTGGTTTATATTTAAACTAATGATTTTACAAACTTAGCAGTTTTAAATTTAAAAATTAATGTTTTCCTGCATTGATAAGCATTATGAGGTTATAAATTACAAAAATCTTTTTAAATTAAAATTTTCTTATTTTTAATGGATAATTTTATATAAGTCTAATTATATTATATGAAAATTTAAATAAGTTAATTTAAAGTTAAATGTACAAAATAAGTTAAACATAATTAATGGTAGTTTAATGTTTATGTACATTTAAAAGTTAAATGTTATAACCAAAAATATTAAATTCCAGTACATTACATGGCAGTACATTTACATTTCATTTTGATTTTTTGTTTTGTAGCTATCACTAGGTAATGTTATAAGTGCTCTTGGTGACAAAACTAAACGTGGATCTCATGTGCCTTACAGAGACTCAAAACTTACAAGGTTGCTACAAGACTCACTGGGTGGTAACAGGTATTTAAAAAAAGTTTCTCTGATAATATTGAATTATTAGAAGAAAATTGTTTTTTTATTAATAATGTTAAATAATTAACCATGTTGGACCATATTTTATAGCTTTAAGGTTGGAAAAGCAAAATGAACAAAATAGTGTTTTGTGATCTGACTGATTGAACAATTATATTTCAATAACAACTGATTGAATTAGTGATATTGTTCAATCAGTTGTTATTGCAAGGAACACAAACAATGACAGTGATCATAATAAACATACATATATGTAATTTTTGCTTTTATGCACAGTTTTGTTCTTTTTGTGTTCTTTTTTTGGTGGCATTTAATATGAATAGTTTTATATTTAAGTCGAACTCTGATGATTGCCTGCTGCAGCCCCTCAGATCGTGATTTCATGGAAACACTTAATACACTCAAATATGCAAACAGAGCTAGAAACATAAAAAATAAGGTAGGTATCGAATTGAAATTTTTTTTCAAAAGGTGGAAATACGAGTAAGCCATTTATAATTAGTTATTAATTAATTTAATTTAATTTTAATTTAAGTAATGAAAAAAATTTTTTCCTTAAAACTTTTTTGCTTTTTTTTTCAAATTTTTGGTTTTGTTTTTAGGTAATTGTTAATCAAGACAAGGCCAGCAAACAAATTGCTTTGCTGCGACAAGAGATTCAGCAAATAACATTAGAACTAATGGAGTATAAACAAGGTAAGCGCGTTGCAGATGGATCAGGAGAACATATGTCAGATACTTTTCAAGAGCTTAACATGCTGAGATCTGAAAATGAAACACTTCGTATGCGCGTAAAAGCATTGCAAAAGAACATCGAATCTAAATCTATACAACTTACTGAGTTAAAAATATCTTCAGTTCTTGCAAATTTAACAGATGGTTTGTAATTTAGATGTTTTCATGTTTTTATGATGTGGATAAAAATTTTTCATCACAAATGCTAAATTAATATTTTAGAAGAAAAAACTACATTTGAAGATATGGTTACCTCCTATGAAACAAAGATACAGGAACTAACGTAGGATTATTAAGTTTTAGAAGAAATATTTTTGTTCATAAATTTTTTATTTTAAAAAAATTTGAATTAAAACATTTTTTTAGCTTCTTTTTTTTTTAAAAAATTTAAAAATGTTATGCTAATTTACAACAGTACAAAGTTGGCAGAAAGTGAAGAATTATCAAGTGTAGCAATAAGACGTGCTCAAAATGTCAGTCGGGCTGCGATGTCGCCTGGTACATGCCAAGAAGATGAGCAATTGGTTTCATTTATAGATGCTGCAAAAGATCACTTAAGAGCAGAAAAAAATAAAAAAGTATTTTTTTTTTATTATTGAGATGTGCACATTAGATTTTTCCTTTTTTTCTCAAAATTTTTCCTGTTTGTTTAAGAATCGCCACATATCCAATTAAATATTATTTTCCTATGACAAAATTTTGTTCCTGTAAAAAATTTTATTTTACAAGAGTTTAAAATTTTTTAAATTAAAAAATTTAAAATTAAAAAAAAAAAATTAAAAAGTAACAGGTTGTTATTTCTTTTCTTGTAATCATCGTTTTCTGTGGTTTTAAATTTAACATCTTTTTTTTTTTTTTTTTTTTTTTAAGAAGCATATGAAAAAAGTTAAGAAAGAAATTTTATTTGAAGATTCTAAAGAAAAGGTTTGTCATACATTTTTAATAGTATTTAACTTTATTTTGTTTTTTTATTATGTATTTTTGGTTTAAAATATATAACTGGGTTTAGTCAAGTCCAGAGAGTGGAGTTGTTATGAATAGCGATGAGAATGATGAGGATGAAAATGAAGAGAAAAATGAAAACAACATGGTGATTGAAATAAATGAGTGTCATATTGATGAAGAAGATTCTCACAATGAAGAAGAAGATGATGATATAGCATCCAATACAGATTCTGACAACGAAGATGCTTTAAATCAATCTTTAAAAAGTAATTTTAAATTTATGTTGATACCCTTTAGATTCCTCTTTAGTTTTTTAGCTTTTTTATTATTTTTAAATTTTATTTTTTCCTTTTATTATTTCAAATGTTTTATGTTTTAGATGAAGAAGCGATGCAGAACAACATTAATGATTTAGACACTGATATTACAATTAAGCAAAAGCTCATTGACGAACTTGAGCACAGCCAGCAGCGATTAACAGCACTTAAACAACAATATGAACAAAAAATGATTTTGCTTCAAAATAAGATTAAAGAAACAGAATCAGAGCGTGATAAGGTATAATTTTTTGTTTTACAAACAAATTTCTTAAATTTATTTTCTATTTCAGAATTAAAAAATTTGCAACTAGGTTTTTGGTACAAAAATTTACAAAAATAAAAATGTTGATTACTCTTGGTACAAAAGCTAATACCAATAGTTGGTTACTTTTAGTACAAAAGTTAATAACAAAAACTGTTGGTTACTCTTGATAAAAAAGCTAATACCAATAAAACTGTTGGTTACTGTTGATAAAATAGTTGCTAAAAATAGAACTGTTGGTTATTTATGCTACAAAAGTTATTACCAATAAAACTGTTGATTACTGTTGTAGACTTAAACAGGGCGTGTAATCGAATGCTATTGCTCACCTTGCAAATTATTTTTTTTGACAACTTGACCATGACTGTTTAGATGTTTTGATGATTTAAACATTTTTGAAATTTGCTGAAAAAGAAAATCCCTAGGCTAAATTTAAAAATTTAAATTTAAAAAAAATTTAAATTTAAAAAAAACTAAAGAAAAAAGGAAACAATTCCCTACAAAAATATATAAATATAAGCACTAAAATAAAATCAAAAAACTCAAACTCAAAGCAAAAATTACTTTTTGTTATGTTTTTAATTTCATTTGAAATAAATTACTTTAAATTTATTATTTGAAATGTTTTATTAAAGTTAGGCAAAATGTTTTTTACAAATTACTTCTAACAATTGTTTATTGAATGAACAAATTGTATTTAAATTGTTAAAAAGTGTTATATAATGTTTTTGAATTGCAAAAACATTTATTTTTTCCAAAAAGTTTCAAAAAAAATTGTTTAAAAAAATAACAGTCTTTTTAAAATAGTTAATTTTAATTATTTTATGCTCTAATTAATCAAATTTAAAAAAAGGTTTTGAACAATTTTTGAGACATGGAAAAAAGACATGGAAAATAGTTTCATGTGTTTAAGTTATCTTTAAAAAGTACATGCCTGCATAAAAATTATTTAAATATAACATTTTTTGTTAATTTACACAAAATGTGTATTTTTTAAACAGCCATTATAGTTAATTAATTTATTATAATGGCTTTAAATTATTAAACAGCCATTATATAATTAATTTATTATAATGGCTTTAAATTATTAAACAGCCATTATATAATTAATTTTATTTAACCTTTTACTTTACCTTATTTTACGTAAAAAAAAAAATTAGAGATCATCGATTAAAAGTTATTTATAACATAACATAATTTTTTTATTGCATTCAAGTTGTTAAAGCATCAAACAGCCTTGGTCAAATTGTAAAGAAAAAAAATCATAAGCATGGTCAGTTACATACCTGTCCAACCCTACTGTTGATAAAATAGTTAACAACAATAAAACCGTTGGTTGCTCTTGGTACAAAAGAAAACTGTTGGTACAAAAGTTAGTTATAAAAAAACTGTTAATACAAGAGTCATCACTTATACAAACCTTTGTAACAATAACAATATGAGAGCTATATTAGAACTATATTAATTTCTTAATGCAATAGTGATGTTGAAATAATTTATGTTTAATTGTAAAATAGGTTCTAAAAAGCATTGGAAATGTTGATCAGCTTGCACGTTCAAAATCAGATGAAGTTCGTAAACAATATGAAAAAAAGTTAATTGCCATGCAAAAAGAACTGTCCAAGTTACAAAACTCTAAAAGGGAACATCAAAGACTTTTAAAAGCTAAAGTAAGTAATAACTTCTTTTTTACAGAACCAGGATTATGCCTTAATTAGGTTTTTAAACCTGTAGCAGTTACTTAAAAATAACTTAAATACTACTGTTTGCTACAAATAATTTACTATTTACCTAAATTTTTTATGTTCTAATTCACCTCCGATGGCCCCAACACAGCCTAGGAGACTACTTTTTTTTTGTTTGAGTTTTTTTTAAATAAAATGTATAAAGCTTTTCCATTTCAACTCTGATTATATAAACATCTGATTATTTCAGAAAGTGTAAAGCCCTTTTTTAGAAAAACTGAGTTGTCTACTGGTAAATCGGATGAATAGAAAGCTAAATACACACATTAAAATAATTATTTATATATAATTTATTTAGAATAAAATATATGTCTTAAAGTTTGCACGAGATTTAATTGAGTTAAATGTACAAGATTAAATTA